TATATGTTAATAATGTGCTGAAATAAAATAAATACATTTAAGAAATAAAAGTGTCATGGTTTTGATAGGAAACACTTGTATTCACAAGTGTTCCTAGCCAAAATCAATAAACTGATGCAGTTTTAGTGCTGTCCACAGCAGAAATCAACCACAAAACAGTGGAAAAATAGCAAATCGGAGAGAAAATCGTGGAGAAAAGACTTGTATTTTACTAATAGATACAACATAATAGAAAATATACAATTGATCCTCAATTCGAGAGGAGGATCGAACTCTCCCAAATCTCTAGACGCCGCTAGAGCCCAAAGAAAACCTAAATCTACGAGATCTCAAATTTCAGCCAAATTCAAGATACTCAAACCCTAGCAAAATCAACTATTTAATGCATACAAATCAATTAAAATGAATTCCCTAAACAGTCCCTACATTCAAATTTCCCTCTTAACTCCCCAAAATTTCTTTCCTATTTGGCTCCCGCACACCGTGCGGCTCGCTCGGCATCCCAACGGGCAGAAGTTTTCCGCCCTGTTCGTGTATGAGCCGGTCCCGCCTGGACCGGCTGGACCGGTCCACTCGACCGGTCTAACAGGTTTTCAGTTTAAGCGGTTATGTTCTCATTTCACTCATTTTTCCGTCTAGAGTGAAAATAAGGGGGTCTCTCGCTCTCTTGAGAACGCCGCTTTAAACGTGAAATATTGAAAACTTCAATTCTGCATTTTAATGGATTCTTATACGTTTCTAATATCATTTCTTGAAGATTTGGCATGTTATTCGAAGGGGATGAAACTATTTTTCCGCCTCCATTGGATCCAACAATTCACACTAGCATATGATCAGGTCAACATCATTAATGCATGGCTGAGAACAAATGATGGAATTAGGGGCGTAAATGAGTCAAGTTTAGGCCCTTATCGAGCTTTGCTCATTAGTTGGAAAGCGAGCTCGAATCGAGCGCAACAGGCAAACTTGAACTCAAGCTCGTTTCATTGTAAACGAGCTCAAGCCAGCTCGCGAGCCATTGGCGGAAATTTTTAAATTTAGGGGGGATTTTTAAAAATTAGGCGAGATTTTTAAAACTTAGTCAAAATTTAGAAAAAAAAATGAAATGTTTAACATTTAAATAAAACTTAGGTGGTTTTTATTAATTTTTTAAATTTAAATTTAATAAATAAAATAAAATTATTAATATTTATTCAAGCCGGTTCGCGAGCTCACAAGCCGAGCCGGCTCAAAGCTCGAGCTCGACTCGTGTCGATAAGCTCAACTCGTGAGCCCATAAACGTGTCGAACTCGAGCTGATTCGGCTCACTTACACCCCTAGCTAGAATCAACCGCTTTTTAGGGTAGACAATTAGTAATAAAGTTCTCTCTCCTCCCACCGTTCCTCATCGATTGTTTATGTTATGGTGCAAAACAGGAAGATAAGCATGAGAGTGAAAAGAACTGATAAACTTAAGAAATGACATAGTTGCAAATACAAGCCTACCACCTCCCAATTTTCATAGCAATGAGTTTGTAAGCCTGTCGCTTTGGCATTTAAGCTAAAAGAAGAATAATATATGAGTAGTCGTAGAGCAAGGCTTCACCATTTCAACCTACACGATGAATATCAGTCGATCAATGCATTAAGTTGCTCATAAGTCCTTAATTTTTGGGTACTTGATGCTCTCAAGCTGAGTTTGCACTGAAATCATAACTGCAGTAATGCTTTCTTCATAGTTTTCAATCTTCCATGGAATCAGGGAAGAAAAATGGACGTTACCAAAATCGAACTCTAAGTCTTGCACAGTATGTTTACAACACTACCTATCAATCCAACTAAAACCTGGATTCTTTTTTATTTTCCTCTCACACATCATAGACCAAACACATTCTGATCTATTCCAATCACCATTTGCAGCATAGATGCTGGATATTTGAACATAAGGTCCTGACTGGCTGGGACTGAGCTCAACAAGTCTCTTTGCCACCTTATCTGCAAGAAATTCATTGCCACATGCTTTGCAACCACCAAGCAATGATGTCAACATGCTTGCATCTGCCTTGAATGGCATGCCATCCATAAAATCCAAAGCTTCCTCCACTCGACCCGCTCGAACCAGCAAGTCCACAATGCATGAGTAGTGTTCAATAAAAGGGTTCACACCAAATTCATCCTTCATGCAATGAAACCATCTCAAACCTTCCTCAACTAGACCACAATGGCAACAAGCTGAGAGGACCGCAATAAAAGTCACCTCATTTGGTGGCACACCAGCATTTTTCATAGCTTCGAATAATCGGATGACTTCAGCACCCATTCCATTGGAAGCAAAGCCCATTAGCATTGAGTTCCAAGGGGCCTCATCAAACTTTCTCATATCATAAAAGATCCTCAAGCCTTCAGTCATAAAACCACACTTGCAATAAAGATCAACTAGCGAAGTAGCGATGATTTGTTCTGATTGGAACCCATAGACCGTTGCAAGGGCAAAGCCCTGCTCTCCAAAGTCAAGTGAGCATATTGAAGCAGAAGCGCTTAAAATGCTTGCCAAAGTCACCTCATCTATCCCAATATCAAGACTATGCATTTCAGTGAAAAGCTCCAGTGCTTCAGTTGCAAAACCATTCTGGTTATAACCAACAATCATGGAGTTCCAAGTGATCACACTCTTGCCTTGAATCTGATCAAATACCTGCCTTGCTTCGGCAATCCTGCCATGATTTGAGTACACTTTTATCATTAAATTCAGCAAGACCGTGTCATGAACTTTGAAGTCTCCAAAAATCTTGCAAGCATTGTCCCAATCACCAGCTTTCGAGTAGGAATCAAGCAAAGCACTGCCAACAATAATGTCATCCAAAATTCCAAACTTTAGCACACTAGCATGCATCTGCACCACATTTGTAAGTGCACCTAAGGAAGCACATGAGTTCAGAATAGTAGCTAAAGTCGAAGAATCCGGATTAACTCCCTTTCTCATCATCCTTTCAAACAAGTTTAAAGCTTCTTCTAAATGACCATATGAAGCATACCCAGTAATCATTGAATTCCACAAGGCAGTACCAGGATCAAATCTACTATCAAAAATCCTTCTTGCCTCAACATGTCTACCACATCTAACAAATCCAGTGATCAAAGCCGACAAGGAGAACTCATCTGGATTCGTCATAACGTCAAGGACTTTGCAGGCATTGTTAAGATCATCACACTTTCCATACATGTCAACAAGAGCACTGCCCAATACAGCATCCAACTCCACCTGGTTGATAACTATTTGGTTGTGAATTTGCTTGCCAAGATGAAGAGCCCTATACTCTGCACAAGCACTCATTGCAGTTGCCAGCACAAACGCATCAAGGCACAGTGAGGAGTACCCATCCAATGCTGAATTCAATCTCTTATAAACACTGAAAGCAACCTGAGCTTTTCCACTACGAAAAAGACCATGAAGCACCGAATTCAAAGCAATGGCGTCCTTCATTGGCATTTCCTCAAACAGCCTCCACGCATTCTCAAGATCACCTAACCGAACCAGACCGGTTATAATGGCATTCCAAGAATACTCGTTCTTCCGAGGCATCCTGTGGAATAATTGAAGGGAAGAAGCGGAGTCCCCGGAGTTGATGCAAGCGTCGATGAGGGTGTTCCATGAAAAGCAATTCCGATGGGGCATTTCTTCAAACAGAAGGTAGACATCAGATAGGCCACTGCCACAACGCGTATACATCTGGAGAAGGCAATTGGTGGCAAAGATGGAGCCGAAGAAGCCGGCTTTGAGGAGAAGCTGATGAAGCTGTCGCCCCTGTAATATCCAACACCTGGCGTTGCATGACCGGAGATAGGCCGCGCACCATTGGAGGTCGACAGTCATCTGGTTCGGAGTTCATCCTCCGGTTCGGTCTAGACTTCAAATTCTGCTTTTCTGCACTGCGACCATTAAAAAAGAGGATTCAAGGGAGCGAATTCAGCAGAATTATGCCAGAAACCAGAGAGTTGCAGACATGCGGCGATTCTTCTCGTTCAATATGGTCGGGATTCAATTTATTTTGAATGTTTTTAATTATTTTAATTCTGAGTGGAATTAACATAAACGGTTCAAAAATATTCGAAAGACCAGAGGAAAATAACATGCAAATATGATATAAAGCATTTTGCCATTATATTTTTATCTGACGAGGAGCTCCTAAAATCTATAATATTAGAATAAAAATCAACTTAAAATAGATTGATTATGGATAGACGTTTAAAACCATTATTTTGAAAATTAGAGCAGACCAGCCGATTCGACCGAAACCGGTTCATATTTCTCTAAAATCATCTTTGCAATGAACCAACTAAAACCAATTTGAACTCGCGGTTCGACCGCCAAATCATTGAGCTAGTCCTTATTTTTATGAAGCACCTTATTCATTAAAAATCTATTTTTTATATTTAATTTGTTAAAATAAATTTAAGAAATTAGATATAAATTTGAAATAACTTTAAATTTGCTATAATAATCAATTTTTCAATATGCTCCAATAAAGCTTACTCATATAACATTATCATTCATGTGATTTCTTTACTCATTCAATTAACAAAAAGCTATAGAAAATTATAAATAATAATAACCTAAAGTGTTCAGGTGATATGAAACTAAAGAAATAAAATGAATTTCTCATATTAACTATACAAACTATATATTTTTAAAAGTAAATTTTAATTAATTTTTATAATGAAAATAATATTTACTTTTTAGTTAATAATAATTAATATTATTTATTTAGCTTATTAATTATATAATACAAAAACTAAAATTTTATCTATTTTATAGAGGATTTTTTTTTTTTTTTTTTTTTTTTTTTGACGAGGAAGCACTGTTGATAAGCTAGTGAAAAATCTCGATCGACATAGCATGCAACCCACATCAATTTATACGGGCCAACACTTAAGGCTTTACTGCTTGCAAAGGGATTCGAATCAGAGACCTAGCTTTGTCTAGCGGGCTTTTCACCATCCGGACAACAACGGTGTGTGGGATTGTCAAAAGTTATAATCTTATTATATTGATTTGGACAATGGATTGATATTCAAGGAGATGCCGCAAACTCAGTCTGGCACATTATAAACGAGTGGACAATTTGATCATGTGTCAGGTGAGATGGTGATGTCAGCTGCTTTTGGATTATGATTAGTGCTTTTTCTGCTCATCATTTTCTTCCCCAATGGCTGCTCTTGGATCTAGGTGTCAAGTCGGGTTTAGCGGGTCGGGGTTCGGGTTGAACCCGGAACTGACCCGGCACTGTTCGGGTCAATCGAACCCGACCTGATTCGGGTCAGGGTCACCCGACCCGACACGAATGATCGAAGTTTGACCTAAAATTGCTAATTTTCGGGTCAAATGGGTCAATCTCGGGTTTTCGGGTCAAATATGAGTTTTTCGTGTCACTTTCGGGTCACTTTCAGTCATTTTGGGTTGCTGGGTCACCCGAACCCGACCCGATTTTTTAAAACGAGCTGATTTGTTCAACCGAACCCGACCCGTTTCGGGTTCGGGTTGAACCCGAACCCGGATTTTCCGAGTCGGGTTCAGGTCATGTTTCAGGTCGTGTCAAAAATTGATACCCTACTTGGATGAAAATGATTTACTGCATTAGATATGACATGGAAAATGGAAGAAGAAGAAGAAAGGGATAGGTTAGAGTTTGGTTTAGGGTTCATTAATGTCATTAGTTGTGAAGGCGAGATTTCTTAGATTAATTTTTTTTACTGTTTTTAAAAAATAATATTTAATATAAATTTTTAGACTGTAAAGTTGTTTTTAGAAGAATAAGAAAATCGTCCCAAACAAAACTTAATTTTCAAACTAATATAAAACGACTTGTGCTTGGAACCGTTTTGTGATCTTTTTGCTGATGGTTATTTGGTATTAATTGTGTAAGAACTTCGTACCAGATAGACCAGTGTGATTTGGGATGCTGTAACTCCAAAATAGACGCAGCGGAAGAGATGACATGAAAATAGTATTGTACTTGAAGTTTGCTTGAAGGAAATACGATATCTTTCAACCAGGGGCGGAATCAGACATTAATTTTTAAGGGGGGGCAACTTATAAGTAAATGTTAGTAGATATGTCGGGGATCCAAGAGGTCAAGCGCGTCAGAACAAATTTTGATTTACATTTATCTTTATATTTGGTTCATTGTTTTACAATCATAACACCTCTATATAATGTGTTTAATTATGCCCGGGTCAATTGCTTAAATATCATAGTATTTTAAAAATTTTAGGAGGGAAGAGGCAATTGCCTAAAATATAAAAAATAGATTAAAAGAGGCAAATTATTAAAAAATTATATATAATATTTTATTTCTTTAAGGGTGGGGGAATTGCCCCGAGCTCTAGGGATTCCACACTGCTCCTACTAAAGAGAATACATCCAACAATTTTCTTCTACGTCATTAACGATTATATTAGAAAATATAATTAAACTATTAGATAAACTGAAATACATTTGCAGAGAATTCTACTAATTATTTATAATTATAAATATAATCATAATAGAAAAAATATTATTAATGTCTAACACTTATTATATTTTTTTCAAAGTTTAATGATTCAATTATTTTGTTATTTTCTTTAATCTAATGTGATTACGAGCTGTGGGTTGGCTGGCTTGTCCCGACAAGATCTCGAACAGCTGGATAAAGGAGAGGCAATAGATAGGTAAGTGGAGGTCAACATCTTTGATGATGGGACCTTTGTCTTCAAGCAAAAATCAATAATGGTCACTTTTAGGAGAGATTATTAGGTGCGGAGGAGACGGGAGAATCGTCACATAAGTATTGGGTACCTAGCAGTACCATACTGATACTGTGGGTACCGCTAGACCCAGTGCTTATGCTAACGTGCGCATTCGCACCTAATAAACTTTTCCACTTTTAATCCAATGTAAACCCAAATATCCTCATTTATTTACAATCATTATAAATAATATACTTTAGCAATATTTAGATCATGAATCTATGAAATTAGATACCACTGAGGCATTATTTGGATATTTTTCATACTATTTATTTTTCAAATTATAATCATAATTAATTTATTATTATTTTTTTATCATTTTAGTAAAATATTATACTATAAAGTTATTTTACAGCAACTAACAAAAAAAAAAATATTTTCTTCACAATAACTTTATAATCATATTTACAAAATCTACAATAATTCCAATCGGATCCTAAATTAAGGATCTATTTCAGATGATCGTAGTTTTCTATAAAGGTAATTATAAAATTTTTTGTGCAAAAAGTAACAGTTTAGAAAGTTATTGTAGGAAGCAATTTAGATTTCGTGTGGGATGACTTTTTTGTTGCTTTTTAAATCAACTTTTGAGTATAAAAATTAAAAAATTTATACTAGAAAAATGCTTTAAGAAACCATTAAAAAGTCATTTCCAAACGAAGCCTTAGATAATACAAAATTTTTTGAAAATAGAAAATAATAGTTCAAAAAAACTTTGGTTTTGATCTGAAAATATAAATTATTAAGAAAAATGTCTAAAAAAAAGTCTAAATCACTAAAAAAAACTTTAGAATATTATGAATAATTATTTCTAAATGAAATTTACATATTAAATTTATTAAAAAATCTAATAATTACAAGCCTATCTTGATATAATTTTGTACTAAACTCCAATGGTATACCTCGACTTGGCCAGCTGGCAACATTAATTGGTCTTATTGACGGACGTATCGCTTCTAATATATAATATATAAATTATGACGCAGCCATGGGGCCATTCTTTTATTAATGAGAAATTAATTAGAATAATGAGACCTTCATGAAAAATTAACTAAAAGACGTGTACAATTATTAGAAGGGTAAATGTACAAAAAAACTCGAATTACTCAAAGATATAATGGCAGTTGCCAATTCGGCTAGAGAGAATTGCATATTAGTTGGGAGAGATTGATCTTTTGAGTCAATCAGATGCGTCATGTCACCTCATACATACATATTACACTGTAATGATATACAACGTATTGGTGATGTAGCTTGTTTCTGATTGGCCTCCGTGACCGCACGTAATAAATTTCACATTAGTTGAACTGTGCAAGTGAACTAAGCCATGGGAATTTATTAAGGGGTGTCAATATTTGACACGACAACGAAAATCCGACCCGGAAATCAGGGTTGGAACCGACCGCATTTCAAAATGGGTCGGGTTTGGGTTCCCGGATTCGACCATTTTGAAAAAATGGGTCGGGTTCGGGTCAACCCGGCAACCCAACGGGTAGATCCAGGTCCGAGTTTTCGACCCGTTTGCCTATCCGGCCGGTCGGGTTAGGGTCGACCCGATTGAATCCGGGTCAGTTCCGGGTTCGATTGACCCGAATTGACACCCCTAGAATTTATTATGAGCTCATGATATCTGCTAATATTTATGAGTAGTTAACCCGTTGATTCTTTTACTTATTTAAAGGAAATTACAAAAAAAGAGCAAGATTATTAAATAATTTTTTTGTAGAGTCAATGATTTATCATAAATCAAAAATTTATATTGCTTAGAAAAAGCTACAAATAACCTTCATGGCTTCTCGCAATTTCATTGATATGAACTTCTTCTTTCTTACTATAAAAGAATGGATCACACTAAAAGATTTCAAGTTAGGAGATTATCATAATGTTGGTGCAGGAACAAGGATAGTGAAGCCATGAGAGACCTAGAAGATTCAGTCATCTTATTCTCTCTAAAAAAAAAAAGGCAAATTCAAAGCAAGGTGTATTTTTTTGTTACCAAGCTCCTTGGTAGATCTTTAATTTCCAATTAATATGAGAAGGGCCTTGAACAATTTTAATTTTTAATAGAGCTAATTTAAATTGTTCAATTGAATGCCTTGATTGACTTATTCTGAATTATTTTAAAATGAAATTTCATTTTATTAGCGATTTAAATAAGATAGAAAAATGGACTGGAGAAAGAACCGGAAAGAGAGAAGTTTGAGGTTCAATGGTTTGATCGGGGTTGAATTGGGTCGAATGCGATGGTGTAATAAATATTGAAATTATTTAAATGATAAGATAACGAAGTAATAATTAAGAAATAATATAATTTTGGGACCAAAAATAAATAAATTAATATATAA